CCCGGAGTCTAATCGGCCCAGGCCCCGAATTTCGACCAGCAGGCCTAAGCCCAACAACCCAGAGCTCGAGTCGGCCCAACCGATCAGGCCAATCAAGGAGCGGAAGCCCAAGAGAGCCTGTCGACCAGCCGAGTGGGGAGCCTACATTCCAGCCTAGCCAGGAGCCTGCCGACCAGCGCACCTGGGAGCCTGCCTTCCAGCCTAGCCAGGAGCTTGCGGTCCAGCCCGGGTGGGAGCCTGCCTTCCAGCCCGACCAGCAGCCTGCCTCCAGCCCAACGGGGAGCCTGCCTTCCAGCCTACCCAGGAGCCTGCCCCCAGCCCGGTCAGAAGCATTCCTCCAGCCTAGCGGGGAGCCCACCATCCAGTCCAGCAGGAGGGAGCTCAAGCGTCCATCCTGCCAGCCAGGCTGACCTGCCAGCCAGGAACAATAACGGCCAAAGTAATTAATGCGTGACTTAATTATGTATTTAATTCCGTATTAATGTTGTAATTAATTAGCCATTAGTACCTTTGGCAGTTACCATTTGTAATCGCCTATAAAAGGCAAGTTCGAGTCAAATAATAGATATGTTATTTCTGGCTACCAAATCCCCTTTGCAACTTTCCTTATTCAGATTACTTTCTTGATTCCCGCTTGAGTGTCGTACGTAGCTTTCTTAAAAGCCTACGAGCGTCCTATTTTGGACCAACAGATATGATTGCTTTTACTCTTGTTAAGTGTGTAATTTTAACATTGAACAATGGACTTATGAAATCTGATCACTCAAGTACGTCGGAGGAGCACAAACACCCGTACAATGGCCGAGCACACACACTCGCGCCACCGGGTCACGTCATATGAGTGTGACGATTAATAAGCTCTAATATAAATGTTAATACCGCACACTCTTGACTTCATACGAGTTCTCATGTGCTCTTACCCCTTCATAGTGCATCACACTCCGACCTCGGGGGACGAGTCACCCGTCCAAAAGTTTTTACTTGCGGGTTCGAACTACTAACCTCGGGCGGCGAGTTAAACTCTTGTTAGGGTCCTAGAGCCACGCTCTTCCGAGCAATTTTGTCACTTAATTGACATTCACATTTCTCGAAAAAAGATTGATATACTTTAGTTCTTTGGGGTTAGATTATCCGTTCGAGTGAGGAGTCCGACTCACTTACTCGCGGATTCAATCTTTCTTTCGGAGATTGGGTTGAGGCCTAACTTGGAAACTTGATGTCACTCTTTCAAGTAATGAGTCCGACTCACTTGCACACTGTGCCGTGGTTCGACACCAGGGCAGATGCTCTATTCTACATTAGTTTCTTTTATGTGTAGGTACAACTGAATGAAGTGGGGGATTGAGGGTCTTACCGTTTTCAAGGAAGCAAATTACGAACCTCACGAGTCTGAGCCCGATGAGAAGAACAGTTCTAGCCACATCTTATTCGCAGATGGCGACCATTGCAATAAAGGCCGAGGATCTCACCTCTTGCTTCATCTTGGGGGCGTCAGATGTACTCTTTTTCCCTTCATTAGGATTTTTTCTCATTGGGTTTTTTTCTAATGAAGGTTTTTAATGAGGCATCTCCCCAACATGGATAAGGGCGGGGATCTTCTAGTCTCGGAGAAGAGAAACTGACTTGGATTACTCCCTCTTAGCCGAGTCTAGTACTCGGCTAAGGGAATGGGGGACTCGTGATGGAGTTATGGGACTAGGCCCAGAGCCTAATCAGCCCAAGCCCCGAACTTGGACCCGTGGTTCCAAGTCCACAACCTGAAGCCTGCCAGCCCAGCGGGGAGCTGTTTGTCCGGCCGACATCCCAACCCGGAAGAGTAACGGTCAAGCAATTAATGCGCTATTAATTATGTACTTAATTCCATATTAATGTTGTAATTAATTAGTTATTATTATCGGTAGCGGTTACGATTTGTATACGCCTATAAAAGGCGGGTTGTAATTCAGATTAGAGGAGGATTCTCAAAGCTATTTCTGGCTACCAAATTCCCTTTGCAACTTTCCATTCTCGTATTACTTTCCTAATTCTTGCTTGAGTGTCGTAAATAGATTTCCTAAAAGCCTACGAGCGTCCTATTTTGGACCAACATCATTAATTTAAGCACTCGAATTCACTATAAAATAATTTGATTTTGCACCTCATTCCTTTAAAAATTTGGATTGATAGAGTGTGCGATGCGCAAAGTCTAATATTATCCAAACATGAGGTACAAAGGCAACTCTCATTTTTTATGAAATAGTTCTCCCTCTATTTAAGTGAGGAATGTAGAAATGGGCTAGAATAGAGAATTTGCCCATTGATACAACCCGCTATCAGCGGCAATAGGCAAAGACATGGATCATGGATGTAGTGGTTTCTCTGAACCATAATTGGTGGAGTGAGTGGGCCGGGTTGGATGATCGTCCGAGACGTCTGCTTGTTAAATTTGAGACGGAGCACGCTTGTAGAAAGTGACTACTCATTAAGTAGGGTGCCATTTCAGACGGCACCCAAAGGTGGAGGGTGCTGCCCTCGAGAAGGAGGGAAAGAAGATCTCTGCTCTTACGGAGGGGTCCACGAAGCACGTGACGGTCAAGGACTCCACCCTCTCGGATGACAGTCAAGGAATCTAGCCATAAACCAAACTAGAAATCAAGAATAGCTAGACAAATTAGGTGCTCTTATTGAAAATTACATGTGAGAGTTAATTCCAGAGGATTGGTCATAAGAAAACATTATAATGCAAGTAAACTATAATTAATAATTTATGAATAAGTTTTATCAAATTTTGATTTGTACGCTCCAATAGGTTTTAAAATATACATAGTACTTCTCAAATATGTGAATTTCAGTTATTAAAAATTAATGTATATATTATAAAAAAAATTAATTTTAACAACAATGAATCAATCTTATGTACGTAGTTTGCATAGTCAAATAAGACATGAAATTGGTATGAATGAAGTAGATAATGGTATGTACGCCCTTTACCCATTTCTAAGTCATGTACCATTCTCACACTAAAATAATCTATAAAATTTAGATTCTATATCAATTTTTATCACATTTAAATTTAGTTTTCGGACTTTGAAAGATTTTTTTGAGACGTTTATGAGTATTTAGATTTTAATCATTATTGGAAATTAGACTATGCTCATAAGATTAAAACAAAAAAACGAGGATATTAAGAAAATGTAGTACTGATCGAAGTTGATAAAGTACATTTGCATTTCACGCAAAAATCATATCTCTGCGATTGCGTTTGTAGGGCACCGACCCCAAAATTATAACTTGGAGAAATAAGAACTAAAAGAGCCGTTGAACCTAGATAGCCACCCAAAAGTAAACGGGCCAGAATGACATCACAATCAACAATAACCAAATGGGTATTAATAAATCCAAATTGTAAGGGTTTGATGTTAAACACTAGTCCATGAACGATTTGTCCTTGGGCCAGTTTCCAGATTGTATTAAAGTCTACATATTTACATCCATTTATGAATAAAAATGCTAGTGTACACCTTTTTGTACATTTTCACACTTTATAGTCTATATAAAGGTTCAAAATTTATCATTTTTTACTCTCCTTCCCTCTTTCTCTCTTTTTTTCATCTTCATCAAATATCTTAATCCTCTTCCATCTTCATGATCACCACTATCTTCACAATTTCTATCGCATTCATCTTCCTTCACCATCTTTCAATTTCACCATATCATCTTTTATCCTACCAACTTTATCATCACCTTTCACTATCAGAAAAACAATAGGAGTTGAAACCGTTGAAGATGTTACCGAAATTGTTGTGAGTAGCGTTAGTAAAATATTGTGTGTGGAAGTATTAAAGACAAAAAAATGTTTGTCCCCACAGACAACAATTTTGGCACATGCAAAAAATTGTCAGTGCATAGATGTCAAATTCTTGTGATAACTCGTTTGCACTTGATCATTTTATTGATATAATCAACTAATGTCGTTTTCATACGTAGTTAACAAAATATTAAAGGATGTGGTTATATAAAATAAATTTCATTCCACATTTGCTACCAGTTATTCATTTAAATTAATAAAAGTAAGAAACATATTGTGATATAGTAGGACAAGGAAGAATATCGATATTGAAATGCTTGGTATGAAGATAAAAACGCTTATTTGGCAACACTAAGCATTTTTTATGTGCAAATAGGGCTCTTAACGAACCGAGCCGAGCCCGAACACCATAGGCTCGAGCTCCGTTTGATAGTGTTTTGATAGTGCTCGAGTTCGTGCTCGAAGCTCGACGAACTCTATTTATTAGGCTCGAGCTCGGTTCGGTCTGTGTTCGAAGCTCGATTCGGATACTCGATAGGCTCGAAAAAAGTTGGAACAAAAAAGTTCGATTAGAGCTCGAGTTCGAACACAAGCTCGTTTAATGAACAAAATTTCGATTAGAGCTCGAGTTCGAAAAAGTTCTTCATAAGTGATACTCTGTAATAAATAAATAAGTATTTGTATTAGTAGATAAGAAAGTAAAGTGGACATATGGGTAAAAAATTATTTATTTATACAAGTGTTCGATAGGCTCGATAACGTATCGAACCGAATATCATCATGTTCGAACTCGGCTCGTTTATTTTTCGAACCATAATTGGAGCTCATATTCGGATTCGGAGTTCGTTAAGCTCGGTTTGTTAAGCAAGAAAATGAACACGAGCTAGAACTGCTCGATAAATGTTCGGTTCAATAACAGCCCTATGTGCAAATAAAACATTGTACAATAAAATTTCTCCGATATGTTTGCGTTAGACGGTACTAGTAGCCGATAGCAACAATAGTGGCTATCCTATTGGTGGTGACGCTAAAAAGTAGCAGGCACTCATGGCGCGAAATAGTAATGGCTACTTATGGGGAAAATAGCCACAAGCGATAAATAATAAATGCAGAATTAATCTTCACAAACTTTCCCAACTTGAATGAATGTTTGAGGATGCAAACAAATAGAATTTTCTACTGCCATGCATCAATATATTCAGCTAAACAGTAAGCACACAACAACATGAAGACACCAAATTTTAGCGTGAAAGACTCATAAAACTAGAGAAAAACCACGGGACCATTTTTGGCTGCTAAAATCCACTATCATCAGCAAAGGAGTAATACAAAGTCTTCTCTATAATCTACATAATACTAGAGGCATACAAAACCATCATATCCTTAGAAGTAAGAATATTGAGGTGTATGTAATCAAAATGGATCAAAGATAAGAAAAATATCACCAGCAAATTGAAAGACAATCTACGGGCCTTAAAACCTAATCTCCACCGTCCAAAACGTTGGCCTAGATGCTGTGTAGCTTCTATCCAAATATCAAAAAGATCAGACGGTTCAATCTCCAAGAAATGAATGTTTTCTGGTGCTGGTTGCTGAAAAAGGGGATGAACATTCAGCCTCCAATTTTCTGATTCTTGTTCTCTCTCTATCCACTTCTCTCTTTCTTGTCCTACAATGGGATCCTTTCTTTTATTAGAAACTCCCCAAATAAAAAGTGAAAATAAGACTTTAATAAACTCAAGTCTGATCAAAAACAAAGAAAAAACTCAACACTACCGTTGGTAGCAAAATAGATAATTGAAGACATTGGTAGCAATACTTAAACATCTATATATCGTACAATGACTAATATCATTATCAGTATCAAATTAAAGTCACACGGAAGGTGGCTATTTTATCTATAAATTAAATTATGTAGTGTTATATAATTCTTGCTAATTATGACTAAGTTTTAATTGTATTCGAGATGTTTTTCCTTGGACTAGAATTTTCTGGTCTGGTTTGGTAAAGTTTTGATCTCTATGTACGAAGTATTTTATAACCGTCCAAGTCTGATCTGATCTGGTCAGGACCGATTCGGTTTGATCTGATCAGGTCTGATCTGGGACTGAAAATAGTCCAAGTAAAAATATTCATAGTTTCATACTTTCATATACAATAAATATATCAAAAGTATCAAAGTTTCATATAATATATACAATTAAGATTTATTTTAAACTTAAACGGTTAAACACAACTACACTCAATTATCATTCTTTGAAGTCAAATGTAAACTAATGTCTCTAATTCTAAATGCAATCTTCTCTAATAGACTGTTATCAACGGCCATAAAACTTCATGAAGTTTTTCACGAGTCACAATGGAATGCATGGAAGACGCATCTTCAAAATTTCGAGAAAAGGGTTACTAAAATTTGAAGTCCTCAAAGTTGTTGAATTCATTTACAAAATCTTTGTTTACTCCCTTTAAGCTTGCTCCCTTAAAGTGGTTGCCCCTTAGTGTCATGATTTGATCGAAGGACCTTGCAATAGCAAACCACTATAACTTCGCTTGAAACATTCATATGAAGTCAAACTATCAAAGTCTTATTACCACACTATTAGTGAGTGGCGGAATCAGGACTTGTGACTTGCAGGGGTTCATTAACAAAGAAATCATATATATCACAAATATAATATATTAAACAAAACTATAAAATTTAAATAAACCAACTAATGAAATAGTACCTTAATTTTGATTAGCAACTGAAGCGTCAAATGAAGGAGAATAATTGGGAGATGATAATCTATGTCTTCGAGGTGCCATACTCTGAAATCGCCTCATAATTTCTTTATTCTCAACTTTAACAAAAATATCTTTCTCAATGTAACACACCAAACTATCTGTCAAGAATTCTTCTCCAATCTTGTTGCGCAAATCATTCTTGATAAACTTCATTGTGGATAAAGATCTTTCAACTGTGGCTGTTGTAACAGATAAGACCAATGCCAACTGAATGAGTCGGTACACTAACCTGTAAGTTGTGTGTCATTCCGTTTCAACAATTCTTTTTGCCAAATCTCCAATAGTTTGAAGACTTGAGAACTGTGGAAATAATTTGACAAATGTAAGAAACAACCTAAGTTGTTCATTTAGTTCATGTTTTTCTCTTGAGCTAAAATCATCTGGGTGTAATTAAGCAAGACAAAGTAGCCGCTTCAAATCAAAATGGGAGAATGAGTCTTTAGGACTTAAGGGCACTATGCACATCAGTAGCTCTGAACTTGACTCAGTAAAACGATTATTCATCTCTTGCATAAGGCGATCAATAACATAACATTATATTTAAAAAAATAATGAAATACTGTAGTAAAACAAATAAATTGAAATACACTTAAATAAGAAATAACAGTCCAAAAATTATCTCGAGAAATATGTCAAATGAAAATAATGGTAACAAATTTTCGGGCTACCATCAACTGTCTTTTGTCTTTACACTCTGCTTCACTTTACATCTTTCATATTAGGCACATCAATACCATGACTTGAACAAAATGTAGTCACTTCTTCAACTAACAAACCCCAACCATAATCATTTCGATAACTTTCCAAATCGACCTTCACTGCCTTGACAAGATCCACAACATTTCTTATGTTTTGATTCTTTTGTTGCAATTCCTTCGATAACACATTAGTTTTTCCTAATAACTGCAACAGGAAATGAGCAATGAACACAAACTCACATGTTGCCATTTTTTCAATCAAACTAGAAGAAGTGGATTTACTTTTCTGATCAACACCATCATCAAATATGGCTTCAAGTACCTCAATCACCGCATCCCACATATCTACAACTCTAATAATTGTTTTATAATGAGATACCCAACGAGTATCACCTGATCTTACAAGACTTTTTTCTTTATTTTTCCCTTTGCCTATGCTGACCTCACCATGTTCTATACGGCCTACAACATTTTCATAATGTTTTTGCAAAAGATCATCTTTTCTTTTACATGAAGCACCAACCACATTTACAATCATGACTAGATGATCAAAAAAACTACCAACTATTCCATTGTTCTTCAAAGAGAAAACAATCACTAACTGAAGGCGATGAGCGAAACAATGCACATAGTGTGCTTGCTTATTTTCCTCCATTTTTTTTGTTTTAAGCCATTAATCCCACCGCTCATGCTTGACGCCCCATCATAACCTTGGCCTCGAACCTTAGACAATGAAAGACCATACTTTGCAAAAACAAATCATCAATGACATTTTTCAATGTCTGCGCAGAAGTGTTACTGACATGCACCACTCCTACAAATCGCTCAATTACCTCCCCACAATTATTAACAAAACTTAAAACCACATACATTTGCTCTTTTATTGAACTGTCGCGAGCCTCATCAATTAATAGAGAAAAGTACTTGCTAGCGATCTCATTAATAATAGCTTGTCTTACCTCAGTTGCACACACATTAACAATCTCCTTCTGAATTTTAGGAGAGGTAAGTTGACTATTCTCAGGAGCATTTGAGTTCATTACCATATTTATATGTGGATGACGTCTACACTCCCATTTCAAGAGTTCAAGGAAATTACCTATAAATACATTTATACAAATTTTACAATAAGCATTATAAATTAATAATGTAATGAATAAGATAAAAATTAATGTAAATAATCTAATAAATATTTACCTGAATGCACTGAAGTATCTGATTCATCGTGACCTCGAAAAGCCAATCCACCATCTAAAAGGAATCGAACTATCAACAATAATTGTTAATCTAGCACGATAATTAATTTCATCTTTCTTGGTTTGTTGGGATAATACATAATCCACATTTTGCTTTTGGTTTTTGAACCCGGAATATTGAATTTTTGCATAATGATGTATGCTTTTTGGAGTTCCTTCGTGGTCACGGAATTTTTCCTTGGCCTTCCTCCAATTATTAAAACCAATTTCAGTAAAAACATCATCCCCATTTTTATGGCCTCTAGCAAACAAATAACACAAGTAACAAAATGTTGCATCCTTAGCAACACTATATTCCAACCAATTAAATTCTTCAAACCACTACTTTTGAAATGATCTCATACACCCAGTAAATTAAATTTGTGGAAATTTGAACTCACGTGATTAAGTAGGGCCCTTTGTCAAATAACATCTTCTCACTTTTTCTTTAATATTAACATTGTAACTTTCGGCTTTACGCTATCCAGGATCACCAATAATGTCGTTCTCTGATATTTCAACTTCTAGGAGTGATAACATCCTAGAGACTTTTCAACTTCAATCGCTTTAGGCTTTTTAACATTATTTTCAACGTTAGGAGTGATATTTTCAACGTTAGGAGTGATATTTTCAACGTTACATTATTCAATGAAGAACATCAATGTTCGGCCCTTTACTACCTTTGGGAAACTTTGGATAAAATCGAAACATAGAGATTCTTTTTTATGGTATAGAGATTCTTTCTAAAACAACCTAGAAATACTACAATTAAAGCGATGATAAGAATTAACAATTAATAAATTATTAATTTAGAAATACTACAAAAAATTAAAATTAACAATTACTAAATTAAAATTAACCCTTAACAAATAATTTTCAGCCCTACAACATTACTATTTGCCAACCATTAGTCCATTACAAATAAAAAATCAGCAATTAATAAATTAACAATTATAATCAACAACAAAGAAATTGAAATAGCGATGGCCTTGGTGCGGCTTAACTGCGGTCCGCGGCCTGCGAGACTGCAACTCCTGCTGCTTCGGGCTTCGGCTATGAGTTGTTCCGCCAGTCTGCCACTGTGCGGTCTGTGCCTGCGTTGGCTACTTGGCTGCATAGAGTTCTGCTATGGTTTTGTCGTAGTCGCGTAGAGTTCCGCCTTGTTTTGGCGTCCAAGCGGAAGAGGCGAATAGCAATTGGCTGAGGGTTATGGTTTGGGCCGCACCTTGAAGGAACTTGAAGGATTGCGGGCTGATGGGTCATGGACTCATGGGTGGGCTTAATTAGCTGGGTTGCAGGGGTTGGTTAATTAAATTTAATATATATATATATATATATATATATATATATATATAATATAAAAAAATCTGCAGGGGCTGGCGCACCCCCACGTCTCTATTTACTTCTGCCACTGCTATTACCAGACAATCGAATTAGTAAAACTCCCTTCTTGTAACCTTGACTAGTATAAAATCAAGATGATAGTAAATGATTTCAAGACTAGTTATAATTATTGACGGTATCGGGGAACATAGTTCACCTGGTGTGAAGACAGTGTCACAAGGAAAATGTTTCGAGTCCAACTTCAACAAAAGGATTTAGGTTGGAACCTCAGTCTCTTTTCACCGTGTGTGATCAAAACTCAATTTATATTCTTCCAGATAATTATCTGGTCAATATTGAGGGTCCCTAAAAGATGTTGGAAAAAACTCTGGACTTTCCCGCTTCGTGAAGTTAAGATAGGCACTTAAGAATTAAGGTAGTAATCAGAGCACAAGATTTAAATTCTCCAATATGAAGATTCTTCCGTTATACAAAAGAATAGTAGGATTTACAATGATATTACAAATTTGTCTCACCCAATGATGGCTCACTCAAGCTTGAGGATAAGAACTTCTCAAGTTATCTCTCTTCTCTCTCAAAGAGGCTTTCTAACTTTCTCACTCTAAGAAGTGAATGCACTTTTGACTAGGATCATTAGGAATGACGACGTCTACTCCTATTTATACTACTCCACCTCCATATTGAATGTTGGAGAGGAGTTCTCTAAAACACTCTACATATTCTAGAGAACTCCAAGGAATCTCTACACCTCTCCATTCCCTTCCATATGGTTCCATACACTTCCATAAGATTCCGGAAGGTTCCACACATCTCCAGAATATTCTAGAGGATTCCACACTATTACGCAAGCTTCTAGAGAGTTCTAGACTTCTCTAGGATTCTCCGCAACGTTCTAGAAAATTCTATATTTCTTTAGGAAACTATAGAATTTTCTAGAACCTCTCCAATTAAGGAGGGATCCAACAAAAGATGGGTGTCCTTTATAATTATTACAACCTCGATCAACAAAAGCACTACTAAATGTCTAAATAAAAACTTATGAATAAAAATATGAGAGGAATGATATAAACATCCCAAACTTCAAAGGGGTGTGAGATAAGTACCATAAACTTACTCATGTAATATATATACCCCAAACTTTATATAAAAAGTTATGTTAGCACTACGGTTATATGTTTTTCACAAATGTAACTTATTATGTTAAGTACATAATTTGAAATACACAAAGCATTTATGAGGATGCAATTAAAATTAGATTGTACCAGATATAATATTTATTTATTTTAAAAAAGAAATTTTGTAATTTTAACTGCATCCTAACAAAGCTTAAATTATTTTAAAATATATACTTTTTCCCATAAATTTATATTAAAAAAAACATAAAATCATAGTGTGAAAATAACTTTTTATATAAAGTTCAGAATATGTGTAATTGCGTATTACATATGCAAGTTTGAGGTATTACACTCTCACCCCATCAAAGTTTAGAGTTTATATTATTTTTCCCTAAAAATATAGGTATACTTGTGACCCGTATGTTTCAAATTAAACTTTCATGCAAAGTTATTAAATGCAAAATTAGAGAAATAATCACGTGTGGTTAATTTATTTTATATTATACGGAGTATGTAAATTATTTGCACTGCTTTATGGGCATTCTGTACTAAGAATCATTGAACCGGATTGACATGAACGCTTGACTTCATCAATTTACTTGAATTTTCTTTGAGATCAGCCGCCAGTCTTCCTAAACCAGATCAAAGTCCATATAACACCCTCTTAATTTCTCAATCTCATATCTAATGATTTTACATTCAAAAAAGGAAATGAGGGTACGACTTGCTTTATCTTTATCTTTTTCTTTTTCTTTTTCTTTAAGTGGTCTAAAGTGTGATCCAATGCTTCTTGCAAGTAGTTTTCAAGCGGTCATATAAAGAAAGCAAACATGGATCAACCAACGTCTCAGTCCCCAGCTTTAAAAAAAGGAATAAAGCAGAATCAAAGTTCATAAAATATAGACATATACTATTCATACATGCACTTTACTACTTTAAAGTTTTCTAGTCATTCTTTTCCAAAGAAAGAAAAATAATCGTCAATAATTTTAAGGGTATATCTGTCTGACTGTCTGTTATTTAAGATCAAAAGTGGGAGATTGATCATTGGTGGCACTTTGCTCCCAGAATCGATCTGGTTAGGATCCTGCATGGTTCTTTATGATTTAGTATTTTATATTTTTTGCTTTTGCTTGTCATACTAAATATATAAAAATATTCCAAACATAATAATATTGTTGCAAATAAAGATAGTGAAAGCCCTTAGCTTTTCAGTATTATCATGATTCTTGCTATCAATCAGATGAGTTCAATGCAATTTTGAGTTTTGAACTTCCCACATGTTCCCTCTAAGTATGCATCTCTTCTTCATGCATTCCCTCTTCCTGATTTTCCTCACTTTTCTTTCAGCTCATCATGTTCATTTTATCTCTGCGAAAAGACAAGCAGCCATTCTGGTTTCTATAAAACAGAATGTCCAGTCCCAAGACAATCTTTCTCTTTCAAGCTGGAACCTCTCCAACTTCAACCAGCTATGCAGTAACTGGATAGGAGTGACTTGTGATGAGTACAACAAATCAGTGGTGTCCCTGGATATTTCCAACTTAAACCTTTCTGGTCCTCTCCCACATCCTATATCTCAGCTTCATGCTCTCAGGCTCCTAAACATATCAGGCAATCTGTTCAGTGGATGTCCCAGCTTGAATTTCTCTAGTCTGCCACAGCTTGAAGTGTTGGATTTTTATGACAACAATTTTACATGCCCTCTTCCCATCGGCATTACTCAGCTTAAAAATCTTAAGTATTTGGATTTAGGCGGGAATTACTTTTCGGGAACAATCCCGCCGAGCTATGGAGGTTTAAAGAACCTCAGTTTTCTCTCCCTGGCAGGGAATGACTTGGAGGGGGTCATCCCAGGGGAGCTTGGGGATCTGTATAACCTTAAAAGCCTTTACTTGGGCTACTTCAATCAGTTTGATGGGGAAATTCCTGTGGAGTTTGGCAAGCTTATAAACTTGATTCATTTGGACCTTTCCAGCTGTGGCTTGAAAGGTCCAATTCCAGCTCAGCTCGGGAATCTCAAGAATCTAGACACGCTTTTCTTGCAAATCAATCAGCTAGCTGGTTCCATTCCTCCAGAATTAGGAAATCTGGTGAGCTTGAAGGCGCTTGATATTTCGAGCAATGCATTAACCGGAGAGATCCCATTCGAGTTCTCTTCACTCCAAGAACTTGAAATCTTGAACCTTTTCATCAACAATCTTCATGGGGAAATCCCTGGGTTTATTGCAGAGCTATCCAACTTACAGTCTTTGAATCTTTGGCGGAATAACTTCACTGGTTCCATACCTGGGAGCCTGGGGAAGAATGGGAAGCTCATCGAACTCGACCTCTCCACCAATAAACTCACTGGAGAAATACCGAAATCCCTGTGTTATGGGAGGAAACTGGAAATCCTGATTTTGTTGGATAATTCTCTGTTTGGGACATTGCCTGATGATCTTGGTCAGTGTCAAACACTGTCTAGGGTCAGATTGGGGCAGAACTACTTCAGTGGTCCAATACCGAAAGGGTTTCTGTACTTGCCAGAACTCACACTTGTTGAGCTTCAAGATAATAAGTTCACAAGCAGAATTGCCTTTGAGAAAACCACAGCATCTCCTAAGCTGGAAGGACTAAATCTTGCAAATAATGACATCTCTGGTAATCTCCCTGCCAGCATTGGGAACTTCTCAGGTTTGAAGAGTCTTTTGCTTAATGGTAACAGATTCTCGGGCGAGATTCCTTCCGAAATAGGTAACCTCATGGGAATGGTAAAGTTGGATATGAGCAGAAACAAGCTCTCTGGCAGGATTCCAGCAGCACTCAGTCATTGCCCCTCACTTACTTACCTTGATTTAAGCCAGAATAACCTCTCTGGTCATATCCCGGTTGAAATTTCCCAATTTCGCATCCTTAATTACCTCAATGTTTCTTGGAACCAGTTAGAACATTCCCTGCCCGAAGAGATTGGATCCATGAAGAGCCTAACCTCAGCAGATTTCTCCTTCAATAACTTCACTGGTTCGGTTCCTGAAACCGGACAGTACTTACTTTTCAACATCACGTCCTTCACCGGCAACCCTTACCTATGTGCATCCTACCTACGTCCATGCAATTCAGCATCATCATTTTCAAAGTCGTACGTCAATGCAGAAAGTGATAAATCCGAATTCTCAGCAAAATATAAGCTGATATGTGTGATGGGGCTATTATTGGCATCTCTCATTTTCACCATACTGGCTCTGATCAAGACACGGGACATGGGGAAGAATGTATCTAAGCCGTGGAAGCTGACGTCTTTTCAGAACCTGACATTTGGAAGTGAGGATGTATTGGGATGCTTGAAGGAAACCAATATAATTGGGCAAGGAGGAGCAGGAGTGGTGTATAGAGGAACAATGGCGAACGGAGAACATATAGCTGTGAAGAAACTGGGAATCAGCAAAGGCTCGCATGATAACGGCCTGTCAGCAGAGATTCAAACTTTGGGCAGAATTCGTCATAGGTACTATTAAGATTTCAATCCTTGCATGTGTTTAAATATTAATGTTATCAGTATAAACTGACTTGAAATGCCCTCCCAAGATGATGCTGCGTCATTGATTCATACCAATCTTAGCATGCTAATCTTGAAATCTGTATGCTATTTATACGTCTTAGTCGAGTCGCAATGATCATTTGAGTTGATGTACTATAGCAACATATTAGGATTTGAAGTTCTATCTTAAAGATGCAGTGGTGCAAAACATAATATTTTAGTTTGTATATTTACATTTCAATGGTGTGGATGGCTTAGCAGGTACATTGTAAGGCTGCTGGCATTCTGCTCGAATGAGGAAACAAATTTGCTGGTATATGAGTATATGCAGAATGGAAGCTTAGGAGAAGCCATCCATGGAAAGAGTAATGGAGGAGGATATCTGAAGTGGGAAACCAGGCTGAAAATTGCCTTAGAATCTGCAAAAGGACTGGCTTACTTGCACCATGATTGCTCACCTCTTATAATACACCGGGACGTAAAGTCAAACAACATCTTACTGGATTCAGATTATGAAGCTCATGTTGCTGACTTTGGACTAGCCAAGTTCTTTCAGGACAGCGATGCCTCGGAGTGCATGTCTGCAATTGCCGGCTCTTATGGCTACATTGCTCCAGGTATACATACTATTATTACAACTTTAACCATTTTTTTTTTCAAAAATAATAGCCGAAAGCCCGAAATGTACATTTACAAAATCCATTTAAATTTGTCATAAGAAAATGATACTCCGTATATGATAAGAATTTAGTATTTTCGCTATAAATGACATGAGTTTTAACGTTTAAGATTGTACTAGGCATCATTTTTTATTACAGATGACTACTTCTACCACAACACATGACGAGATTCTAATCAACTAGATTTCGTATATAAAATATTCGAAAAGCTATGTGGTCTGGCCCCTCATAATAACTTCACTTTTTAATGCAGAGTATGCGTATACACTAAGAGTGGATGAGAAGAGTGATGTGTATAGTTTCGGGGTGGTGCTTTTGGAGTTGATAACGGGGCGAAAGCCCATCGGCGATTTTGGGGAGGAAGGAATGGACATTGTTCAGTGGGTGAATTTGCAAACAAATAGGAGCAAAGAAGGGGTTGTGAAGATCATAGATGAGAGGCTAAAGAATGTTCCAATTCAAGAAGCCATGCAGGTTTTGTTTGTAGCAATTTTGTGTGTGGAAGAGCACAGTGTGGAGCGACCCACCATGAGGGAGGTAGTTCAGATGCTTGCACAGGCCAAACAGCCCATTTAGCAATATTTAGTTGCCTAGTAATACATCCGTCGAAACAGTCTGTGTGATTAAGACCTGTTTTTTTGTTGTCAACTTGTAATCTTTCAAATGATCAATAACAAAACTCTGAGAAACTCGGATCTACAGAGTATTATATGGGTTAGATTTTCATGAAGACAAAACAATTATAATCGGCATTTGCATTTAGTTGATATTTGTCCCAGAGTGAGTCACAGGTAGATCAGCTGAAAGCATAAATCAAAATAAACAACAATAAACGCCAGGAAGATATTCATGTTTGGAATCTACCATTGTCATTCTAAAATGTGGGAAACATAGGGAAAGTCAACACAAAAGCCATTATTAATAGAAAAATAAGTTTTTCAAAAGTTCCTAACAAATTTCCATAGAATTTCCTAAACAGAAGAGCTCTTTCCCTAGAATTTCTGGTGCTTCATAAGACTCCACAACACCATTTTGTTGCTGAATATACTTGTGGTTGTGGACACAACTATATTGATGTAAAACCAATTTTCAATCTAATTCATTGTCTGAATGAAAATTTTGAATATTCAGACTCAACGGAAGAACTAAAAAACTTTCATGTTTGAAATCAGTTATCACATGACATTAAAATTTCAATAATTTCAAATAAATTTCATTTTGTAAAATCATCCACAATATTAAATAAATCATAGTCACATAAAGATTCAAACACCTAGTCCAAGTAGCACTTTTTGCTTGTACAAACACTACCCCGCAATGTACAAGGGCTCATGGACTCCACATCCCCTTCTTTTCTACTTGACATTTAAGCATGGTGCCAAAACTTCAATGGTTTGTATATTGGGCAAATAAGTGAACAGCTTAACGCCCAATGCGAGACAAATGACTGATTTGACTGGGGATAAACATGAATTTTTGGGATCGATAGTTGTATGAAGCAATTTTACGGCCACACATCATGAAAACTCTACGCAAATCAAAGGGATGGAAAGCTAGCGGGAGTGCACTCTGATGAAGGTCATTCACTTTTGTTCTGAAATCCAAAGACCACTCTCCACTATCATAGTCCACAAGTGTCCATGAAGACAAGTACCGGTCACGTCTATTAAATGGCATTGGCAGTCCTTCCCGCTGCTGGATCTTGAAAGTTGTAGTTCGTTCAACACGAAAATAACGCAGTTGACCAGCACATGTACCAAGCACCTGTTTTCCAAAGGACTCATAACCTTCAGATTTGGGCAAATCAATCAAGCGGCACTCGCCTAAATTGCGGTTTGGATCATAAGCTACAACTAAATCAGGATATGCAATCCAATGCAAAACACCACGGAACGGCTCAGCTTGGTAATAGCTCATCATGCGAATATATCTAGGACATGACACTTTCAAACTCTTCCATTTGCCAGTATCAGGAGAAAATACTTCCACATCAAGTATGTTTGACATTTGTCTGTGCCTTATGATTCGAACCACCTTGTAGCCTCCACCATCCTGGCTACTCAAACCTACATTTACGTGATTTTCAGTACAAAGGGGTTTAGGGAGTGATAACCATCGGGCAGTTATTGTATTACACACGTAGTAATCAGTTTGCGTATGCACACGCTTGCAGCACAAAATTAGCCCATTGCTTGATCCCAAAACTCGAAGGGGGTAATATCCACGTCGTACATGAGTAAGAAATTCTAATGAAAAACCTGGAGATGATAACTCAAGGCCCTTTTTCGAAACTATGTAAAGACCTGTAAATTTACCAAGGACATGATAAGCATGTATACATTGATCTTCTTTCTTGTAACGGAATAGTATATCCCATGGTGGCAGTACGCTCATGTATGTATCAGAAATTAGAGAATGCCAACGCTTCGAAACACATCTAAGCTGGATTTTTGTTCTCAAAGGCAGTCTTGAAAATATCTCCATCCAAACCCCTTCAGGAATATCATCATCATCAATCATGACTACTGAACAGTCTGTCTCTCTTCTGTTGCTACATTCTTTCAGCTCCATATTGAAGTTTCTTATCAGATATGGGAGAATTCAAGTTCAGCTTTACTGTCACATTGAATGAAATTGAATAATGATTTATAATCTCACAGTAACCAACTCATGACCAAGAGGAGGTGGGGAAGAATAGTACAACTTAACAAGTTAACAATGCTAGTATATATGAATCCAACAAAATAGCTTAGCATATGCGCTTTTAGAAAATACTATATCTAACAGTTATCATTTATGACATAAAAGCTGGTTTTGGTCTTTTGGAAGAGAACTTTTGAAGGAAAAATAATTTTTACTGTTATAAGAAACTTCTCATGATACAAGATTACAAGTTAAACCAAGAACTCACCTATTTATGCCAACACATATATAATTTGACCTGGTATAGCAGGTCAAATTTAAATGCGAACCACACATAAGCTATAAATAATCCCAACTATAGTTGATCTTCTTTTAATGATCCCAATTATCAACTCTCAATTTTAGAAAAATATAAAATATTTTTATAAATTTCCAAATTGAATATTTTTAATCATGTAAAAATTATTATGAAAATTCTACAAAGTATTTGTACATGTTTAAAAAATGATGGTACATTTGGAATTATTAATAGCGTACCGGTAATAGTTGGAATTATTATTTTCAATTCTTCCTGTAATCTAATAATCTAATGATTAGGAATTAATTTCTTTGATACAACTTACTAATACCTCTATCCGACACACTTCTATAAACCAATTAAAACTATTTGGTGTTAGGTTTGTGTGAATGACCGGCAATTTGAACTAGTTATCATGTCATTAGAAGGATGATGATCTACATGGCGAGTAATTGTCGTGACAAATCCGTTTGATGTTTAGTGATTCATGTTGATTTTTCATGTCTAATTGTCTCTATGTCTAATACTATACTAACCAAAAAACAATACCTCCGATCCCTTAAAGAGGAGCCACAGCGTAAACAAAGCCTGACATAACAACTACGAAGTACAAAATACACGGCCAATACCTCCATAAAGTAACTCATATAACTACGCGTCTACGCCCATTATGTGCAGGGGTGGGCATATAAGGAGTACTCCGTAGTATATACTGAGAAAACGAACCAACCTTCCCACCATCCTTTAGGTCGGGGTGGGCATTCAACCTTTTGACCAAATGAGAAAACGAACCATTACCTGCTTCGAAGGGCGGCACTTCTTTGGTGTAGATTCTACATGCGGTCAAAAAGATATAGTATCGTACGTCCTATGACACTATGACCTAGACCAAATAAGCCTGAAATTACACGTATAAATAATACTCTCCCCCCTCTAATAAAAAAACGGATGACACCTATCCCTTAGGGTCCCCAACCCCGATTGAACGCTTTATTGGGAGAATATAAATTAGACTATTTTTTCAATCTTATAGATAGAGAATGAGGTTCTGTCTTCGGTACTTGCAGAGGCCCTATGCATATTTTATCATAGTAACCTCTCATCGCAGTTGCCGGGATTCGAACCCGAGACCTAACTCTTGTGGCACTCCCTCACTACTAGTTGAGCTACGCCCACCGGTAAAACTAAGGTTTGGCTTGGCCCTAACAGGTTAGTATACACCGCTTGGCCCTACCACTTGAAGGGTTTTTTGGGGAGCATAGTACCACTAGTGCTAGTGGGAATCGAACACGAGACCTCTCTTATGAATAGGCCAGGGGTAACCTCACAACCAGCTGGGCTGGAAGTTCTGGTAAAAATGCATATTGAAAATGAGATTTTATGCTTCTCTCCCCCCTCTAATTGTCTTATACCCGGTATCAAATTTGAGATTGTATGCTTCTAATTAATTCTTATACTCCCTCATGTCCTAAATAAACTTCACACTTTTCATTTTGGGTAGGTCCAAAATTAACTTCACAGTTCTTCTCCCTTCATTATTTGGCAAATTATCTACATCAAAATAATGCAAAATAGTGCAAAACAGTGTTACAACAATGTACTCTACAGTAAAGTCAAATTTATTTCCTTAATTTATGTCAAGTCAAAATGTGAAGTTTATTTAAGAACGGAGGAAGTATTATTTTTATTTTATCAATTTAGAAAAACTTATTTTTCCTAATAATAAGACCACTTTATCATGTCCAAAGTTAATAGGACGGAATTGTAAAAGATGAGATCATACAATAAAAAGAATAAGAACAATAAAATATACTCCCTCCGTCCCGAATTGAATTGCAAACTTTGACCGGCACATGAATTAAGGAATTGTAATAAATGATGCTTGCTTTTTACACTTTTGCTTATCTTCCTAAAAGTAGATGTTTTTAAGTTAATGGAAAAAAGTAAAAGTAAGGGTAAATTTATCACTTTATTCTTATTTACATACCTAAAATAGAAAGTGTAAAACCATTTTGGGACAACCAAAATAGGAAATTTTGCAAATCAAATTGGGACGGAGGGAGTACTATCTCCTTCCCATAAGTGCATAATGTAGGTATATGTGAGTTTGACACGAATTTTAGAAAAATAAAAGACAAATTTTTTGAATAAGTGTTCCTATATCTAAATAAATTAAGAAAAAATGACAACAATAATCCCACATTTGATCGTTATTATCATAATAATCTCATATTTACATAATCCGAGAATAATAATCTCACATTTGAGGTTCATCTCCTCTCATTGAACACTGACCGGTTGATGACCTACTATACTAGACTTTATGTCTTGTCTTTGAAAATCTTATATAAATAATTCCACATTTTACAAATCTGGTCAAAACAGGCTCAATGTCTCATGTTTCATTTTTTCTTTTTTCACCCTAAAATTTTTCTCTTTATTTTCATCCATAGACTCTTTTTATTCCTTTTTCCATCCTTTTTTGATTTCTTTTTCATATTTATTTATTCTATTTCTCACTCCACTCTGAGATTTTTTTTAAAAAAAATTCCTTTCCGGACACATTTTTTGTCATTTTTTTATTCCCGTATTTTTATTCAAGTTCTTTTCCCACGTTACATTGCGGTATACGAAGTGTTTTCTTTTCATTTTCACTTTCCCTATTTTTCTCTTGTAACTTTTTTGTAAGTGTTTCTTCTTTCTTCTTGTTACCTTAAGTCCATCATCAATATATTTTTTCCCCTTTCTGCATCATCGTATTTTCCTAAGTATGTCCACTCATAAATTTCATTAACTATGGGAAAAAATCATTGTGATAAAAAGATTAGGAAAAATAAATTTAAAGAAAAAAAACAACCAGGGAAATGTAAGAAGGTAAAAATTACATATACTCTTTACAAGAAGAAGAATAGACGTGAGAAGCATTATCTGAAGAGATGGCGAAATAAGAAGAAATCTAGATTAAGAAATTGTCACTATTCACTAACATGTCAAAAGTAAGTGAAAAAAGATGAGGTGAAAAGGGACAAAGAAAAACAAATACTTTTTAGGAAGCTGAAAAGGGAAAGAATAGAAGAAAAAGGAGAATTTAAAGAAAATAAAAATTTGAAATAAAAATAAATAAAATAATAACGAGTGATAAGTCTATATTTCAACACGCATTTGATGCATGTTGAGATTGACTTTTGATGATTATTCCTAGCTTAAAGTGTCACAAGTTTCATAATTAGCTCAAGTCATGATTAACCGGGTTTTGGTGTATGTTTGGTATTTTTAGAGTCAAAATCAGGGAACTTAGCTCGACAACGTCATTTGAGAATTGATCAAGAATATTATGGACACATTTGAGAGTTATTGAGAAGTATTGAAGATCCATGAGTCATTAATGAAGTGACTTTAAAGACGAAAGAACTTTAGGATTGACAACGAGATCAAAATAAGACAAATAGAACTTGAAAAACGGTGATCATGATGATGTTCTGTCAATCATTCAAGCATATCTTTTTGTAAGAACATCACAAGACATGATTCAAGTTGAACATGAAAGCTAACTTCAAGGGCTACAATTCATATCAAGACACCAAGATGAGAATGTGAGAGGCGAAAGATGAAAACAGACGAGGAAGCCAGATAATCGCTGTTGAGATTTCAGGATACGACCTTCCACTATTTTATTCTTATCTTTTAATTGGATGATCCAATCTCAGTTTTGAAAGTTTTTGTAGATAGAAGACTTCATTATCTATACCTTTAGTGAAGAAAGCATAGTCAAATGAGGACGGGTTAACCGCACGTCGTGCGCATGAAGTAGGCACGTCGTGCCTGGAAGAAGAAAAACGAAGGAAGCTACATACTGGAGGTCGGGCACGCCGTGCGTTCCAGGGAGGCACGCCGTGCCCGGAAAGTTTTCGCTAATTGTTCTCCGGAGGCATGGACACCAGGCATGCCATGCCTGGGCGCCGTGCCTGCCCTCAGAAATCCTTTTTTGGCTTGAATTCCTCCGTTTTCTATTTATACAACCTGTAAACCTCTGTTTTCGCTTACAGGGCTTAGAGAAAGGCCTAGGACGATTTTTTCATTACTGTTCCGCTTTGTTATTCAAGACCCTGAGATTATTTGTAAGTTCCATCTTTTTAGTTAATGACAATTAGTTCTTTCCTTCTCAATTCTTTTATTAATTAAATTATGAATTGTGAGTAGTTTTAATTAGAGATTTGGGATTGATTAAGGGGTTAATCATGATCTAGGATTAAATTCTTGAGGGATTAATTGCATGATTTTTATTTAATTTGTGTTTGAATAATTTAATTGATATATGTGGTAACTTGGAACGGCCGCTAGGATTATAATTGCACATAGAATAAATTAAGAGAGATTTAATTTATTCTAGGACACTTTCACACACACTTAGTCATATCGTTTGCTAAGAGATTTGTAACGGTGAGAGAGCCGTACGCTCGCTCGTTTGACAATAATTTAGGAACTTGTCGCATGAGAGATCAGTCTAGTTCCCTAAATTATTATACTCTACGCCGCGAGAGCGATAAGAACTTAGTATTGAGTAGCGTTGCTCAATTAAATAATTTTCTCGTAATTAAGCCTGATAAGCCCCAAAATCTTATTACCCCAGAATCAATCCATGTTCCCTTTCGTCATTAATTAAAAAGAACCTATTAATTTAGCTGTTGTTTGCATTGTTTTAATTTCCTAAAAATCCAAATCTCGCACATCACATTATTTTATTTATTTATTTATTTTTAATCGACGAATTTATTTAATTCTTAATTTCTTTTTCCGTCCATGTGGACACGATACTCATACTTTAGCCCTATACTGTTACATATTCTTATTGTGAGAAAACTCACATCAACGAGTAATGTGTGATAATAGTCTTTAAAAGAGAATTAACTGAATAGTAATATATAAAAAAGGAAGAAGAAAAAATGAGGAAGAAGAAGAAAGAAAAAACTATTAAGAAAAAGGATAGCAAAAACATAAACAGATTAAATAAATGAAATAATAAGATGAAAAAAAGAACATAAATGAAACGTGGGACTGCTTTGAGCAGATTTGTAAAAGGTGAGATTATTTTATAAAGTTTTCAAAGAAAATGCAAAAAACCTGATATAGCAGGTCATCAACATGTCAGGGTTCGATGAAAGAATATGGCATGCAAATGTGAGATTATTCTGAAATTACGCAAATGTGAGATTATTATTCAAATACAAAGGTGGAATTATATATTATTGTCAATTATTCCTATAAATTATCTATATAAATTTAAAAAATGAAAAAGGTGAAAACCAAACTTACGATCTTACTCTTGAATTAGACTTTTTAATAAAATTTTACGATAGTTATATCGTGTTTCTCGAAAACTTGTACTTTTTTATCATTCACTGAATGACTGATTGAAGACTCTATGGCACTCATAATCCAATTTAATTATTCTACAATTTTAAACTCCAAAATAAGAAAAATAAGTTGTGTCCACAAAAAGTAAAGGATGAATGATAGATCGATAAAGGGGTAAAGTAAGGAAATCAAAATGATATACAAAGTGATACATGGAGTTGAAATAAGACAACTACTACACAACTCGAGGAAATCTCAAAAGAGAAAGATCACGACTGAAGCCTCACATCTACACCAAGATTCTCTGACGTAGCAAATACATCAATCAAACGTGACTGATTACCAGATTCCCCACCTGCCAGGTAAGAACTCTAGCAAACTTATATGAATCTAGTGATATTTCTGAAACATGCAATTTATGTTCCTTGGAGCCAGACAACTACAATGAATTCTCCAAAAAGAAACTTTGGATTAAAGTAATGGAGGAGGATATCAAAATGATATAAAAATGATACTTGGAAGTTGGTGGTTCTTCCATGTAACAAAGAACTTATTGGAGTCAAAAAAGTATTCAAAACGAGGTTGAATCTTGATGGATTAGTTTAAAAGCATAAGGCAAAGAGATATGCTCAAATATCAGGAGTCGGCTACACGAAGACATTTGCCCCATATTCCCGGATGGACACAATTACATCACTCATAGCTCTTGCATCCCAGAAGAAATGGAAAATTAATCAGCTAGACATCATGTCACTAAATGAAGAATTAAAAGAAGAATTTTGTATGGAGCAAGCAAAAGGATTCATCAAAGAAAAAGGAAAACATTTTCTCCTAAAGTATTACAAGATTGATGCGTACTCTATCCATTAAGGTTTCAGGAGGAGCAAGAATGAGCTTACATAATACATCAAATTCCAATGTAAATTTGTCATACTAATCGTCTCAAGTTTATGTTAATGATTTAACTTTTGCGGGAAATCATTCAAAGCTAATTCAAGAATTCAAGAGAGAGATAATGAACACTTTTTAGATGAGTGATTTGGGATGAGTGCACTACTTCCTCTACATAGAGATAAGATAAGAGGGAGTGCTTTCAATGAGAACATTCATTATTGTAAGAAGTGAGAACAAATCTTAATTATACATTTTAGTAAATTAAAGCCCATAAGAGGATGAGATGCACGGATGTAGGATGAGAGTGCAAACATTAAATGAATACCCTTGCACTCTATAATCCATACATGGGCTAATGAAGGGCAGGAGAGTAATTTTTAAAAATTCTTTAATGTGGTATCCATTGGAGGCTTATCACTTACCAAAAATTAGGAAGAGATAAAAGGTCAAATCATATAAAATGTTTTAGTTTAAATATTGATTTAACTTTTAAAATTATAATTTGGTTTTAACAAAAACTATATTAAATTATTAAATATTTATTATTATCTTCCATAAGACACCAATATGTCATGTATAATTTTGTAATAGAAAAATAAGTATTATATGTATACAATAAACCACAACAAACATCTTCAGTTACCGCATACACAAAATTAAGTATCTAACACACAACCACTAATATCTAACACACAATAACAAGTATCTAACACACAATACATATAACTGATATAAGAAAAACTAAAACAAGAATTTTAAGAAAAAATCCAATATGTAATGCACAAAGAGCAGTATCTGACACACAAAGTACAATTAAAAACTAATTAATATCTAAAGCATAAGAATTTCACACAACTTAACCTAATATATAACACACAATAACTAATATTTAAATCACATGAACCGATCATTTTACTCTTTGTGAGGATGTAGCACACTACATTTGGTATTTGACGCACAATAAATGAATAAAAAATAAATTACAATTGAATGCACAAGTTATTAATAACATTAATTTGATATGCTAAAAATGCATTCAATTGAAATACACAATATCTAGTATGTAATGCATAAAAATTGAAAGACATTGAAAAATATTAAAAAATGGTGAATTGAATACTTGTAATATAGTGCAGAAAAAAAGACGTTGATAAATTGAAAGACATCAGTTAGTATAAAATAGTGATTTATACTAGTAGTATTGAAAAGGTAAGTGGAAGTAAACTACCATATAAATGAAAGTGCTCCGTAAAAAATACTCCGGATGTAGTATTTGAGCGGATATGGAATTAGGATTTCCTTTCCTAAAATCAATCACATGAATTAATTAACTTTAATGTGGGTCACAAAAAATTGACATAAAAGGATGATACAAAAATGTCCTCGGATTTTCTCATCACATCATCTCAACGTATGTGTATTTTGGATGACTGAGATTTGTTCTCACTTCTTACGTTAAAGGGTGTTCTCATTTGAACCAAAATCAAGATAAGAAGAAGAATGCATATTCTAATATCAAGAAGAATATTTTAAAGACATGTTAAAGAAATTTCAAATGAAATATTGCAAATCCATCCTTACACTGATCCATTGGTTACGTTCCAATGAGAAATTAAAAAAAGAAGATGAGTCAAAGCAAACGAATGGTACCATATATCGAAATATGATTGGTAGTTTTCTTTACTAGACGGCTACGAGGCTTGACATCATGTATGCTACAAGCTTGCTTTCAATGTTTATGGAAAGTCCAACTGAGACTCATTATGGATCGGAGCAACAAAGAGATTTGTTAGGCACTTGGAAAGGACACTTAGCTTAACTATGGTAATTGGTACGAAACGAGTCCTTACTCAAAACTAATTAGATATAGCGACAAGTAATTGAGCTAGATATCAAGATGATGTGAAAAGCACCCCTCGTTAATATGCATTTAAGCTTGGTTCAGTAATTCTCTCATGGGATCAAAGAAACAAGATTTAGATGCAGCGTCATCAACAAAAGATGAATATGTTGCAGCAGCCGAAATAAGTCAGCTATTGCAATGCATGGCTAAAAACTCAGTTTAGCACAATCACACTAAGCACACCGATATCAAGTGTCACTTTTTTTAAGAGATGTCTAAGAAAAGGGGCATATTGAGATGACGTATTATCCAACCAAAGAACAAGAAGCACATTATTGCATGAAGGCCCTACCAAGAGACAACAGATCGATTATCGACATTTGTCAAGAATAATCTATGTAGAAAAAAACTAGAAATGTACTAGAGAATTAAAATTAGAAATGTTATAAATAATTCTTATATAGAGTCTAGAGTAATTAGAAATAGTTATAGAGTAATCTAGATTCCTAGCATTTAATAAGTATCTAAAAAGATTCTCTATCACCTCTAAATAAGACCCTTGTACTCATTTGTTCACCAAACAAAATCAATACGATTCAAGCATTTTAAAGAGAACTCAACTCTAAACATTCTCCTCTATTCTAAACAACATACAAACCCTACACCTCATACGATCACTAAAATCACTTATCATGTTCATACACCAACATTCACTTCTATTTTCTAATATAATTAAATACTTTCATAACTTGGTAAAAATGGAGAAAAATGAAGCTGAGTGGAGGGGTTTTCAGGGTGGGGGGATTGTGGGACTATGATAGGTTATAGGTGGGAAGGGCCCTGGTGGATTATTTCTCTATCATTCTTCATTTTTGTGGGATGTATGTAACACCCCCAACTCGATATTTATCATCCGAAATGTTATGCAAACCTAGTAGTAGCAGTGTCATCACAAATCAATACGAATCTTTACTACACACTTTTTCTGCACTCGAGTGCACCTAGAGAGATCAGATCACTTATTTTAAGATGACTCTTACATAAGCTTTCTTCAACGTAGAATTCTAATTAGCATATGAGATCCTTTTGAAGAAGATCCCTTTTTATGTTCTGTTTGATTCATATTGTTAGAATGTCACCTCCTTTTTTAATCAGACTATTAGAAAATGACACTAATATTACAACTTGTTGAGTTATGGTTTGATTAATAATAAATAATACTCCATAATAAATAAATATTACAACTTGTTGAATTATAATTTGATTAATGATAAAAAATGTTTTCCCCTAAATATTATTATTATTTCCTTCTTTTTTCCCTTTTCAGTGTGTATTATACGATAGTATAACAACTCTAGGTACGTGTATTACAACGGTGTATAGTCTTTTTTTCCTTTTCTTCTTTAACACAAGAATCCAAAAACTAACGACATATTTGAACCTTTCATTTTTATAGAAAAAATCAACAGGAGTAGGACGGGCAGCAACGCAAGTGGAACGTCGCTGACAGTTGGCATGATTGTGAATTCCAGGGCAGTTTATTATTTCTTTCGTTTGGAAATACTGATATTTTTGTAAGTAATAATGCTGAGTAGGACTCCGGGCCCACACGCACATGATAAACTCTAGCCAGCTGCCAGCCTGCCAGTATGCTAACGACCGAACATGAACGACACACAAAAGAAATACTCCTATATATCAAGAAGACCTCCAGTTTCTATCACCACAGCGAAGACGACGTACGCCATTTGCTGACCACCACATCGATCTGGTTCTTCATCTTGAGCTCGGAGTTTGATCACCCAAACCAAACATGAACTACTGGAAGTCTAAGGTTTTGCCCAAGATCAAGAAGGCTTTTGAGAAGAACAACCCCAAGAAGGCTGCTGCTGCTGAGGCTTGCAAGGCCTTTGATGAATCTAAGGTATATAAATATACACATAAATCTAGCTCTTTCTGCTAGTGATACTTGTGTTTTGTAGTCAAAGCTTTATATGTTGGTTCATATTTTCATATGAAAAGTGAAAAGTGTGTCTGATGAGTGATGAAGCAAACCAATCCACTTATGACTTTTTGGTATCTCAAAATTTTATATGTTAATTAGTTTTACATTTCAGAAAGATCTTATTAACGTGCATGATACTAAATATGAAACACCTCAAACCCAAAACAACAACGAAAGATGATCAAGTCAAATACTTAGTCTGTTTTGTGTAGTAATATAGCGTTTTTCAAAGTAAATAGAGCATATTTGACGTAATTAGAGGAACTCATGCCGTAATAGTTTGAAAGCAGTGGAGGACCTAGGGAGGGACCTAGGGGGGCAAGTGCCCCGCTTTCGGCCAGTAATTTCCTTACTAGTAATTAGAGTAAAATAAGTGCCCCGCTTCCGAGCAAGAATTTCACTACTAGTGTGCCCCTGCTCTGACAAATCGGTGAGTTCGCTACTGTTTGAAAGCTAAGCCTGAATACGAGTTTTTGAACTTAAAAAGATTTTTGCAACCAGATATGCGACTGTTGTAGGTCGGGGCTTAATATTAGTTCGTTGGATCATACAGGATCAGTTTGGGAAAGAGTTCGAGGACAAAAAGTCTGAACTGCAGCCTAAAGTTGTTGAAATCTATGAAGCTTCATCGGCTCAGACAAAGGTCAAATCTTTTTCCTTAATTAAGTCTCGTTCTTTATTTTTCTTTAAAGCTTTTGACTAGATTAGAGAATATGGACTGATGTTTCTCAGCTGCACTCTTGGCTTACAAAATAACAGAAATTGATAAAAGAACAGAAGGGCGTAGGGCTGAAGAAGAACTCCGCGGCAGTTCAGAAGTTTTTGGATGAGCTTGTCAAGATCGGTAATTAAATCTTTTTCTTTTTCTGCTTCTTGAAGGAATATGGAAACGTACACCATATTCCTGGTTTGAATGGTTTGACCAAAATTAAATTATTATTATATCTGTGGTTTCACGTCGATATAGGGACAAGTACATATGGAAATTTGGTAAGGGAACGTGACATGATGAAACTTTATGCGTAGATGAAAAATAAAAAAGATTAAAACATGATTTTATACTGAGTATATACACACTCCAAGAAAAAAATCGAAAGTATATAAGGAGTATACAAGGCAAAGTTCCCGAAATATGACTAAAACAGTTTCAAAATTCCAAAATAGGACTGTCATGTTTTTTTCCCCAAAATAGGACTAATTACTGCCATGTTTAGAAAATAATGTCATGTCTGAAGTCGGGTACTGTCAAAACATGGCAGTAATTGGTCCTATTTTGGGAATAAAAATATGACAATCCTATTTTGGAATTTTCAAATTGTTTTATTCCTATTTTGGGTAATATCTCAATACTTTTAGTCTATAAAAAATTTGTTGAAAATTTAAACTTTGACCAGGGGCGTAGCTAGGGGAGGGCCAGCTCTGGCCCTGACCCTGTTCAAATTTAAAAAATGTCTAAATTTTTAGTGTAAAAAATTCTGTGTGAATTTTTTTTAAAAAATATTCTTTGTATCAGATCAGTCCGGCCCAGTGTCCTGGCTCCGCCCGTGCAAAGAGCTAAAGACACAAAGCCATTGAAATATTCATTGGGCCGGACAAGAAATATACTCCCTCCGATTCTTATTAAAGTTCTCAGTTTGACTTCACACATATTAAGAAAATGAATTTGACTTTACTGTGGAGTGCACTGTTTGGCACTGTTTTGCATTGTTTTGTTTCCTAAAATGAAAGTGTGAACTTAAATAAGGGACATCCCAAAAAGGAAAGTGAGAACTTTAATAAGAACCCGAGGGAGTACTACTTAACCAGTTAAACTATAATTCAGTGGTCCAACTCACAATTCAGTGTTCCAACTCACACTTATCGAAACAGACTATCGCCGCCCCAATTATTATATCACAAAATTCAATAACAAATTACTCATAATTCATATACTACTTTGGTATCACTCTATGTGATTCCAAATTAAATTAAAAATGAAGTGCTTATCAAAATATGTTTGGAAGATAGATTAAATTTTCTCATAGCTTATATTCAGTTTGTACACTTGATTGTTAGAGGTTACAATATACTTATGATAACTTGAATTTAATTACAGTTTATTTATAAATAAGTATTATTTTAGTATATCTTTAGAGAAATTGAGTGTGTAAGGATGTTTTTACTTAGACTATTTTGAGTCCCAAATCAGATCAGACCAGACCAGACATGGACAATTATAAAATACGCAGAGACTAACATTTACCAGATTAGATCAGATCGGATCAAACCATACTAGACCACACCAGAAAATCACAGTACAGTAAAAACATCCTAATTATAGTATACTCAAAAATAGTCTAAGAAATGAGCTTGAAATTTTAAAGTTGTACATAAATTATCATACAATTATCTAACGTGAGCTGCGCTATGTGTATGATGAAGACTTTCCCGGATCAAAGCTGGTGAGTGAAGCCAGTTCGAAGTTAGGCCCTGCTTACGTGGCCGGTCCGGTTACGTTTCTAGTCGAGAAATTTTCTTTGCTGATCCCGGAGGAGAAGAAAGAAGAGGAGGCGCCGGTGGGGGAGGGGAAAGAGGAGATAGTGGTCAGGGAAGAATCAAAAGCTGAAGTCCCTCCACCTGTGGTTGAGGCAGCTCCGGCAGCAGAAACTCCGGCTGAACCAGCCGCCGCAGCTGAACCGCCAAAGGAGGAGGAGAAACCGGCCACAGCCGTTGATCCAACAAAAGCTTGATCTCCGAAGAAATTATTGCATGTAGTATTCACACACTTCGCTCTTGTCAAAGATACTTTTGTGGTAATTAAACAAATAGAATTTCAATTTGTGCTGTGAGAAGGATTAAAAGAAGATCTGTTTTAATGTCAATTATTCATTACATTGATTCGTGGTTATTATATCTGTATAAATTTTATATCAATGCTTTGTTTCTTCTTACGTTGTGTACTCTATTGTAAGAACATCAGCTAGTTTGTTTACATTGTATTTTTCATGCATATGATGTGTATATATATAATGGTTTCACTGTTTCAGACTTATACTTGTTGTAGGGAGAATGTTTGATGTTGTTTCATTAATAAAGGTCCTATAAATAGGGAGCTGTTAAGGTTTTAAGAAATGTGTAAAAGGGCCCATAATACATACAGAGACGGGCCAAAGGGCCAATGGAAGCATTTTACATAGAATGATCCTAATAGTAATAATAATAATAATAGTAATAATAATAATAATAATAATAATAATTACAATAATAATAATAATAACAATAATAAAACGCCACTTGTTAGAGCTCAAAAAGGTGTTAGAGCTCAACTTGTTGCTAGGCTCCCCACTTGTTCCTTGTAATCTTTTACCTTTCTTATCCTAATAAAATGCCATTTCAATAATAATAATAATAATAATAATAATAATAATAATAGTAATAATAATAATAATAAATGATAATATTAATAATAATAAATGATACGTACATGTTAAAAAGAATAGGGGGCTTTCACCAACCTTATTCTTCTAACATAAACTATTTATTATTATCATATTATTTTTAATTTGTAATTTCGTGAATATATTTTGATAGAGTATATCTAGAGAGAAGTGAGAGCTAGAGAGAGAAGTGCAATAATATGCTTCAATAGAATGAATTTGTCACCCCCATAACTACTCCCTAGGGGAGTATTTATAGAGAAAATACGGGCTGGGCTCCCAAGCCTTGGGTTTGGGAGGCCCATTTACAACTGGACCGCTACTGGGCCGAATACAAAGCCACTAATGGACTGTACAAATGAGTAAGTGTAAGATCCGATTCTGGGAGGTCTTCGTGGCCGACAAAGGCGTGGCCGACGAGGGCACCCGGGTTCTTTGGACCCAGGACCATAATCTGAGTTGGCCCTTTTCGGCCGACGGGGGCGTCTTGGCCGACGAGGGCGCCACTCTGTTGTCTTGTACTTTCTGTTCTTCCGAGTATGTGGGTCCGGGGGCTCAGACCCATATGCTCCATCAGGAGTCCCCCACTCTCTAAGCTGAGACGTAGACGAAGTGAAGGAGAGTAGATTCCCGTGCTTTAGTGCTTTTGGCCGATGCGGGCATTCCCGGGCCGTTACCTGTTGCGGCGTTCGCGTTGTTTCCTTAATGTGTTCGTTTGGGGATGATGAGTGTCTTGTTTCAATGGTGGCCGTTGAAGGCACGTTTTGCTTGGGCGTTGATGGTCGAAGTTTACCTTTGGGCCGATGAGGCCGTTGAGGTTGATCCCTGCTTTGAGGACGATGACGTCCTTTCCTTTGGGTGGCCGATGAGGGTGCTCGCGCACTCCTTTTGGCCGTTGTTGATGATGTTATGTGCCTCTAGACGACGAGGTGCCATTGTGATGCGTGGACGATGTGGCCATGCTTTGTGGTTACATTCATGTTCTTTGTATTGTTCCTTTCTGTTTTGTTGAGGCCGATGTAGTCCCCCAGTCCCCCACTGCTTCAGGCCGAAGAGTATGAGGGGTGAAGGAGTTGCTTGAGTCTTTGGCCGAAGCGACCTCTCCGTAGTCCCCCTGAATCCAACTATTATGGCGATTTTCTGGCCAAGGTAACCCTGTGGGAGAACCCTTGTGCGCAGATCGCTTGTAGAGAGTTATCATCAAGGGTTATTACGAGGAGCCGATGGCTGTGGGCTCCTTGTTCCTTTTATTCTGTGGCCGTTACGCCCCTGGCCGTTGCCGTGTCCTTATTGTTTGGCATTTGTGATTTTGGCAAGCAAATGGGACGTTGTGGGCGCTTGCTGGTACTTGTGAAGCCGGCACGTGTATAGGCCGTAGAGTCTGCCTTGCCAGTGGGCTGTTGACATTTAGTTTGCCCCATTGGTGACGTGGTGGCCTCCCATTGGTGGCCGCTGATGTGGCCATTGGGGGGGGGTGCCACGTGTAGTGACCGTTGGGTGGGGGGTTCTATAAAAAACCCTCCCCCTCCGACGAGGAAACGTATTTGCATTCTGAATTTGTCGAAGTGCTGGCCAATTTTCTAGAGAGATAAACTCCCAAGCTTGTTCTTCGTGTTCTTCGTGTTCAAGGTTAGTGTTCATCGCAATCTTCCTCACTTTTCATACTTTGCTTCCTAGGCTAGTGATCTAGTGTTAGGCGTTTGAACACCCTTAGATCCTAAGTTAATCTCCTTAGGCCCGTAGTAGTAGTTATGAAGAGCTTGAACGAAGACTACTACCCTTACGACGACCAGCCCTCCACGAGGTCACTTGATTATGAGGTGCTCGAGGAGTTCGAGGAAGAGATACAACATTTGAGTCCTTACAAATCCGAAGAGCTGGTGGACGACGAGGTCGAGGACGAGGAGTCCGCCTCATCTTCAAAAGGTGAGGACGCAGCTGCGTCCCGAGTGGTGGACGGGGCGTCCACTTCAGCTGTCATTCCGTGCCCGAGGCCGGTATCCGCCGTTAAGGGAGCCGCTAAGCCGAAGAGGGTGAGGAGGCCGAAGAGTGGGCCGGGCATCTCCTACCTGGATCTCACCAACATCTACTTGATTAAGCCGGAGAGCAGCGCGGCCGACTATCTTGTTGCCCAGATGTACGTGGGGCCGTTCGGGTGGGTTAGGGCACCCAGGCCGACGGACCATGTTCTTCTTCCGCCACCGGGATACTTTGGAGTATACCCGATGAGTTTCGCTAAGGGGTTGAGGTTCCCCCTTCACCCTTTCATCACTGAATACCTGGACATGGTAGGGCTTCCTCCGGCCTTGCTCACGCCGAACAGCTATTCCTTGATGGTGGGGTTTTTGCTCCGGTGTGAGGAGCTGGGCTACAGGCCGACAACGGCCCTATTTATGAATCTGTACCAGATCGGCCGAGGAAGCCACAAGAACTGTGCGGCCTATGCTACTCTTCAACAGCTGCCGAAGAAGAGGAGCTTCACGGACTTGCCTTCGTCCATTCATGGGTGGAAGAGCAAGTTCGTTTTTGTATCCCTGGGCGAGAGTGGCACCGAGTTTCCCTCCCTCGGCCATACTGGGAGGTTCAACCTCCATGACCCGCCGAAGAGCTCTATCTTGGATGCTCAGGTGGAGGCTTTCTTAGACGGGGGGCTGAGGAGCGTGAAGGAGTACATCACAGAATACAAGATGACCGCCCTCGGCTTCTTGAGATACCATGTGTATGGCGATAAGGAGGATGACATCCAACTCTGGCCGAGGATGACCACCACCTTTGAAGAGGCCGACGGCCCGGACTTGGGCATTCCTGCTGAGGCCGATGGTAATTATTTCTTTGGCTTTCTGTCTTTATGCGTTGTTCTTTTGCCTTGCTAATCTGTTGCTTTTCCTTTGTAGATTTCGTCATGGATCGCCGTTCCATAATGGCTATTGCTAAGGCCAAAGCGGCCGAGGAGTTGGCTGCTAAGGCAGCCGGGGCAGCCAGACGTGCCGCGGCCGAGGGGAGCGGGGTTACTGCTGGTGCGGCCCCAAAGCCTGCCCCATCGAAGAAGAAGAGGCCGGCCACTGACGGCCAGAAAAAATTGACTGAAGTCGGTCTGAACGTCTCCAAGAAGACGAAGAGGGAACCGTCTCCTTCCCCGGCTACTGAGGTCGGTACTCTGACTGTCCCGAGCGTGGACGATAGTGGTCCCATCGTGGACCTTACTGCTGCTCCCAGTGACGCCGCCCAGTCGCTCCCTATCGTCCAGGAGCCACGGACGAGGAGGGCTGGCAAGGAGATCGCTGCTGCCACCTACCAGAAGGTGGTGGAATACCCCGTCGGCGGGGGTGTGTTCGACGATGCCGTCCTCGGCCATGATGTGCTTGCACAGGCCATGCCGGCCAAAGACCGAGCTTACCTCAAGAAGCTCGGGGACGTGAAGGTGTACGAGGGTGGCATGGACCTCCTCGTCCAAGTAAGTTCTCTGCTTTGTAGTGTGTACTTTTCTCGTCGTCCGTGTAGAGTCGGTTGCCTGAGTTTTGTTTTGCCTTTCCCCTTTTATTTGCAGAGTGCCTTTATGCTCATGGAGAGCCATAAGAGGCAGTACCGGGAGATAGCTCGTTTGAAGGAGCTGGAGCAGAAGGCTGCCTTGGCCGACGAGGCGGTAGCTTGCCTTGACCGGCTCCGGGAGGATGTCAAGGCTTTGCAGCAGAGGGCCGATGAAGCCGCTGCAGCCAGAGACGATGCCCTGGCCAAGCTCGAGGAGAGCAAAAGGGAGCTCGAGGAGACCCAAAGGGCGTTGGAGGCCGAGCAGCGCAAGAACGAGGAAGCCGTGAAGGCGAAAGCTGAGGCCGAGTCCGCCGCTGTGAGGGCTGTTGATGAGGCCGTTGAGAAGTTCCTGGCCGAAGGGTGGAAGGCCGATGAGAGGCTTCCCTGGTGCTATGAGGTGGTGGCCGCCAGGCTTGAGGATTGGGGGATGAACTCCCCCGCCGACCAGGAGTATTTCAGTAGGGAGATGGCCGTCTATTACAACATGGGCCAGGAGCGGATGCAGAGGCTCCTGTGTCGGCGACTGTCTCATGCCCTGAAAGCCATGAACTACACGTCCGGGTGGGCCAGACGGAACCTGAAGCTGCCAAAGCTGATGAAGGATCCAGAAGAGCAGGCCAAGCTTCCTTTGTCGGAGCGGGAGTCCCCTATTGAAAGCTCCGGCCTTGGCGAGCCGGACTACACCGAATTTGATTTCCTGGACGACGCCACCAGTGCTGCAGCCGCCCCCGGCCAGGAGGCTGAGGCCGAGGAGGTAGCCGACGAGGTTGAAGAGCCAGCCGCGGATGGAGGTGCCGAAGAGGCTTGATCGGCTACTCCCTGCTCCTTTGTAATTAGCTTTTCATTTTTTTGCCAAACTGATGTAATGGCCGAAGCGCCCCCCATTGTAACGAACTGACTATGAATGAAAAAAAAATTTGCCGTCCTGCTCGGCTTTGAATTCCTTGTATGCTTGATTGCCTTTTGTCATTTCAATTCGGAAATTTGTCTAAGTGTCAATGGGGTAGTCCACCCTGTCCGATGAAGGTCACCTCTCGCGTGTCACCCAACCGATGCGGTTAGGGTTTTATAGGCGTGTGTTTCGGCCTTGATCATTCCCCTGTGGTGTGTGGACGTGTCGTCCATGTTACTTGTCAGTGGTACTACACCTGTGTTCAACTGATATGTACTTGGCCT